CCTCATTCACACCAACGGTGTTTCAGGGCCGGTTCGGAGCTGGAGCTTGAAAAGCACCGGGTGAATCTACAGAGGGACCAACAAGCTCTCCCGTCTTCACAGTACTCGCAGAGACGGCATTTAACCATTCACATTCCAACAGAAACTGAACAGGCAGATTCGAAGGATTTATTCCTTTGGAAATGTTATTTTAAACACAATTAAATCAAGTTATTTTGGTAAAACTAATGAAATATATAACTAAACATTTTTCTTTTTTAATGTTTTAAAAAAATTTTTTTTTGAATATCTTAGGCCCTGACGGCTCACCACTGTCCTTTCCATTCACAGCCAATTTAGTATATTTGCATCAATGGTAAGCTTGACAGAGTTAGGTGAGGTAAAGGTCAGGTATGACACGGCCACTTAAACAGCAGAACTGTCAACAGTGGGATCAGTTCATTTGAAGAAAAATGGTCCACATTTCCTCTCGTTCCAACATTACAATTATACTAAACATATCATGCTGGGGTCATTTTCTAATCTAAAACCTTAATTCATAGTTTAGACATTAAAGTCTTCCGACATAATCCAAAAGAATTTCCTCACGGATCGAAGGTGCTAACATTCACAACCTATAGCCTGACACATTAAGAGGCAGCTCCTCAGAATGATCAGTTAGAATTCTAGTTTTTAAACCGAGGCGAAAACACAGGGGAAACCCCCCCCACACCCCTCCCTCTCTCTCACTCACTCACTCTCTCAGTGTCTTTACTCTCAAAAACAGGACAGAAAAACCTCCTCCATACCCATATTTGTGGAAACTGGGCATGACCTCTGATGTACAGGACTGGACGTGACCAGACATATTCTAATGCTATGGCATAAGACACACCTTCCCATGTTTGTGTAAAAAGGTCATGACCTCTAGTGTGCAGGACTTGCAAAATATTATTCTCGATGGCACAAACACCTTTTTGGGGCCTCAGTGTATTTATCCTTAAGTCAGGAGCCCCCCTCCCTGTGTACTGCTGTGAGGGAAGAGGGAAGAAACTGTATCTCCTCTTATCAGTGACACCCATAAACCATAATAGGCCTAAACCACTTGTGTTTTGTTTATACTGTAAATATAGAAAACCATAAAATATGAAGCATTTTCATTGTGGGTTATACAAGAATATAATTGATTATAACTAACTTTCGTTTTAATTATTCAACCTAATTTGGAGATCTCAACAACACTAACATCAGGAACTGTTTAATAAACATTTGTAATGTCTTTTTCAAGTAAGGTAAAGCCATATTTACAAAAAATGTATAAACACAAGTCCGATATACATCCATAGTTTTCCTCCTCAGTGTCTGTTGTCAGTGAAGCACACAAACAGTGGATAAGACACAGGTCATCTCACTTAGCGCTGACTTCACATCTGTCATTCCCCAGCCCACTAATCCTATATCCACAGACATTTTCAGCTGAAATCTACTGCAAACAGCAAGTCAAAGCCTTCAAGTGCTGTGAAATGTGGCTTAAAGGCCAAATCAGTGAAACGCAACAAAAAAAAGAAAAAAAAAATGACACTTTGGAACATAGTTAGCAATGCATTTCACCTGCAATTCCCATGTAGGTATTTGAGACTTTGAAATGTATCACATAGAAAAATAGAGCCATGCAGGCTGCATTTGCTGTGTTTTAAACCAGACGTATGAGTCACTTCAACCACCATCACCATCTGCCAGAAAAAAGTAATACACAGTACTTATTCTGTTCTCCAAAAAGGCTGGACTATGCAACAATTATGTGAACCTGCTGCTTACAGCCTGGTGCTGAGACTCAGTTAACATGATTACAACCCAACTTTATCCTATGGCTTTGTTGACACTGAGTCAGTCTTTGGGCATCAGGGTTAAAGTCAGTGCATCTACTTTCTGAAGCGCTTGAACAGTGGATGAATGTTCTTTCCTAAAAAGGATTTGCTGCCTCGACCCTGATATTCCATGTAGACGGTGTCATCTGCACCCGACATGGAGCTCATGGTGCCGGTTCGCCTTGAGAACTGATAAAGAAGCAGGAAGAAATACATAGTGTTAATATTCTACAATGCAATGGTAAGCCTGCAAAGACAATTACGTATATATCTGCTTTCTGAGTCAGAGTTATCCAAAGTGTTCACCTGTGGTCGTCCGCCCAGCTCCCCTGCCACCAACTCCTCCTCAGCATCCAGGTCTGAAGCAGCCAGGACCTTCTGGAGAAGTTGCTGCTGCTCCTCTTTGGAGGAGAACATCAGGTCCTCCTCCTCCATACCTGCTAGCTTTGTGATCACCTATGAAAGAAGAGACACATGAGAACACACCAACGGTATATGTAAAAAACTTTTTTCGCTGAGGGCCACATACAGAAAAATATACGAAGGTCCGGGCCGCTCACTAGAGGTGAGGTTTATTGCTGTATCAGTTAAGTGATAAGTTAGCTAAATCAATCAAATGTAGGCAAATTATGCTTGATACTTGAAAATTCTTACACCACAGCTCTCCATAGGGTTTCATTTATTTTGTTTGCAGCTCATTCCTTAAAACAGAAGCCTCAGATTGCTCATAAAAAGAGGAAATATGAAGCTATTTATGTAATTAACTTATTGGTCTTTTTTTTATCAACTAAGATTTGTTTGAAAATGTTTCCAACTTTAATTGACTGAATTTATTTGAAAAGTGGGCCTTTTAACGCAGGAATACTGTATAATATAGTTGGACAAATATATTTAAGAATTACAACAAGCACACGTTTCAAAATGGGCCACGGGTCGCATTTGGCCCCCGGGCCGTAGTTTGGATACCCCTGATGTAAAAGAATAAATAATACTAAGGATAAAACTATATATGTCTTATTAATAAACTTGTTTCCATTTGTCCTGAATAATTTGTCCCAAATGCATTGAAGCTATTTCAGGCATTTTGTCATTTGAACTCTTTTCATCCAAATAAAGTGTCATAGCTTCATATCCAAATATGTATCTACATATCATATTCCATTTACTTGTACATAGACTCTTCTTGCACTATTTCTATTTTATTTGTATTAACTTGCACATCTCAAAACATTCTCTAGCACTATTTTATCTGTTTTATGTATATATATATATATATATTCATGTTGCGCTGTTGGAGGAGCCTGTGCCCTATGTTTTTCATTGCAATATCTAAACTGCTAATGTGCACATGACAATAAAGCCTTGAATCTTAAATCTATGTTAACTATCTCTGTGAGCGGAGACTTTTCCTCGAACTAGTTTATTTTCTGGGTCATTCTTTGTTTTAACCCTCTAAATAAAACTCTTATATTAACTACCAGATACCCAACACATTTGTGTTAACCTTGTTCCACTGAGAGAGCAAACTTGGCCCATTAGAGAAATGTACAATTGTGTGTTTTACAGGTTAAAATGTGTTGTTCAAAAGGGGAAACACAAACATGTAAACACACCTTAAAGCTGTAACCTTGGTCCACCAGGAACCTCTGCCTCTTGGTGGAGTAAGCCATCTCCTGGGTGTCCTGGGACACTAGTGAGTAGAAGTATGCATTGTACTCCTCTGCTACCATTCCTACACCAGCAGACAGGGGGAGAGAGAATTTTTAGGTGATGAATGGAGGAAGACTATATGTTACATCAGAGTGTGTCATGCAAAGGCAACCAATCCAAGTGATGCAGACAGACTGACCTTTCTTAGCTCGTAAGACTCTGCCCAGCCTCTGGGCCTCCTGTCTGCGGGATCCACCATGGGAGGAGATCTGGATCAGAACATTGGCTTCGGGCAAGTCAAAGGAAGTGTCTCCAACCTGAGTGGTAGAAGGAATGCAGTATATTTCAAGTCATGTCATTTGATTTCACCATTGTATCAATATCAGAGGTGTAGTAGTACAGTACAAATAATCTGTTACTGTACTTAAGTACATTTTTCTGGTATCAGTACTTTACTCCACTACTTATTTTTCTGACAACTTTTTACTTTTACTTCTTACATTTTTAACACAAATACCTGTACTTTCTACATTTTCAAAACAGGCTCGTTACTTTAGTTTTAATGTGTGTTTAGTGGCGTGATCATTATTATTTAGAGTCATTGCGTGCCTATTGATTTGAACACGATCCGTGTATCCATCATTTCTTGGTCTTCTCTAAAGAAGAGGGACCAATGAAAACTTTGTAATTTTGCCGTTGCTCAGCTTCGAAACATTCATTAGCAACAATTACATTAATGTTCTATTAATATAAAGGGAGGTCAGTTACTCTTTAAAACAGTTGGTAATTATGGGTACTTTTTACTTAAAGTACATTTCGAAGCCCATACTTCTTATAAAGAAGTTTAGTCGGTATTTCTACTTTTACCAGAGTATTTTTAAACACTAGTATCTGTACTTCTACTTG